GCATAGTATACGAACTTATGTTAGAAACATAGAAATTTGGGAATTAAGTAGAACAGAAATATTCTGTATTAGCGCCCTGTTAGCGATCGGTGCACGAAACAGAGTTAAATAGAATAACAAGCAACGCAGAGGACATAACCGAGCGAAGGAACTTGAAGAAAGAGATAGAGGATGGGGCATTTAAATATAGAGGAAGCAATATATATCATTCGAAGGGGGATAAATTGACATTCACCAATTTTGACAAGAATGCGATTCCAACAACGGATGATATACCTGTGTACAAGAAACAGTACAGGTATGGGTTCAAACAAAGGCAGGAAATAAAAAACCAAGTGGAAGAATTACTAGAACAGAAGGTTATCAGACACAGCCATTCCCCTTGGAGCGCACCAGTATGGCTGGTTCCAAAAAAAATGGATATGTCTGGGAAGCGAAGCTTGTGGTAGATTTTAGAAAAGTAAACGAAAAGACAATAAAGTACATACATATGTATGTATATCCAATGCCTGTAATTGTGGAGTGGAGGCTTGTGGTTGATTTTAGAAAAGTAAACGAAAAGGCAATAAAGGACATACATATGTATGTATATCCAATGGCTGTAATTGGGGAGGTGTTGGACAAGTTAGGAAAGGCAACATATTTTTCGGTGCTAGATCTATCTAGTGGATACCATCAGATTGAAATGAGGGAACAAGACGTGCCAAAGACTGCCTTTACAACCGAAAGTGGTCATATTCGAATACGTTAGAATGCCATTTGGGTTAACCAATGCTCCGGTGACCTTTCAAAGGGTAATGAACGACATGATGGGAGACCTCATTGGAAAAATATGCCTGGATGATATCATCGTGTACTGACCATCTCTACAGAAGCTTAGTGACGCAAGATTTAAATTACAAACAGATAAAACAGACTTTTCGAGGAAGGAAATTGAATATTTAGGGGATGTAGTGACAGACGACGGGGTTAAGCCAAACCCTAAGAAAATTGTATCAATTAAGCGATTCCCTATGCCGAAGACAGCAAAAGAAATAAAATCTTTCTTGGGATTAGCAGGTTATTACAGGAAGTTTATAAAAGATTTAACAAGGATTACAAAGCCACTAACAAAGAGATTAAAAGGGAAACAAAAAATAGAGATAGATGACGAATATGTCAGAACCTTTGAATATTGTAAGACTCTCTTGTGTAATGACCCTGTATTGAGATATCCAGAATTTACAAAACCATTTATATTGACCACGGATGCTATCAATTTTGCTATAGGAGCGGTGTTGTTCCAAGGGGCAACGGGCGCTGATAGACCCATAGCGTTTGCAAGCAGGACGCTGAACGATGCCGAAGCGAATAATTCAACGGTAGAGAAGGAGATGCTTACTATTGTTTGGGAAATAAAGTATTTCTGGCTCCATCTCTTCGGGCATAAGTTCACAATAGTTACAGGCCACCGACCGATGGGACTTAAGGAACCGAATTCTAAGCTGGTCAGGTGGAAGCTAGAGTTAATGGAATATGACTATGACGTAATGTACAAAAAAGGGTCGCAAAATGTAGTAGCTAACGCATTTAACAGAGTAGAGTTAGAAGTTCATACCAGTTAGCAAGACTCGGATCAAGCGACATATGCAAATACTGACCACATTACAGATGTGGATGTAAACCACAAAATTCACGTAGCTGAGAAACCGATTAATGACTTTAATATACAGATAATATTTGAAGTAGGACCCACGTTTAAGCGTACAGTGACGATACCATTTGAGAATAAATTGAGACGGGTAATCATAGAGCCAGAATATGATAAAGAAGGATTGGCTTTTCAAAGAGCTAGTTAAACCTCATAGGACTTGCGCGATGTACGCTTCTGACGATATATTTAAAATAATTCAGGACGCATACATGGACTACATTAGTCAGGTCAGGAATTCTGAGATGCTTGACTAGGTTGGAGGAAATACAAGAACTGGACGACCAAGATAACGAGATCGCGAAGTATCACACCGCGGGGAATCATAGGGGAATAGATGAAACCTTTTGCGCATGAGACGACATGTATATTTTCCGTATATGAGAAACAGGATAGCACAAATTACACTACTCGACAAAATCGAACTTTTTTTTCCTCAAGGATCCAAACCGACTTTTTCTGATAGATATGGGGATTTAACATTTTTTAAAGAATTATGGTTTTTTTTCTATGGCAGAACTTTTTTTTGAAGAATTTTTGAAGTCTGGTATTTTTTTTTAAAGCTTTTTTTAGAGGTAGCGCTTGTTTTTTTCACATAGCTCTAGTATCTTACGTCTGGTTGTAAAGAACTTTGCTAATTTAAAAAGATAATTAAAACAGCTAGAAGTTAAGCCCAAACACTTTGTGATTACAGCTTACCGTCTGGGAAATATAAAGCATTTAAATGCAAAAATGATGATTTTTGTGCGGTATTTTTCACGAAATTTTGACTTTAAAAGCTCAGGAAAAGTCGAAAAAAAATTATATCTTGTGTCCTCTATTTTTTTGTGTATAGGTGCGTTAATTTGGCGTCGTTTAAGGTATCGCTCATTAAAATGAGGTACCAAATGTACAACCCTTGTTCGTTTGCTTTGTTCCCAATTGGCAGTTGGGCCCGCAACCTTCCAAAAGGTATTTTTTGTTCATTTTTTCATATTTTAGGTTTGGTTAACGAATTTTAGCTCCAAAGTCTCTCCATAGATTTTAATGAGCGATACCTTAAACGACGCCAAATTAACGCACCTATATATAATTTTTTTTCGACTTTTCCTGAGTTTTTAAAGTCAAAATTTCGTAAAAAATACCGCACAAAAATCATCATTTTTGCATTTCAATGCTTTATATTTCCCAGACGGTAAGCTGTAATCACAAAGTGTTTGGGCTTAACTTCTAGCTGTTTTAATTACCTTTTCAAAATAGCAAAGTTCTTTACAACCAGACGTAAGATACTAGAGCTATGTGAAAAAAACAAGCGCTACCTCTGAAAAAAGCTTAAAAAAAAAATACCAGTTTTCAAAAATTCTTCAAAAAAAAGTTCTGCCATAGAAAAAAAAAATATCATCAAACCATTTCTAAGCCCCAAATCTTTAAGAAAAAGTTAGTTTTGTTCCTTGAGGAAAAATCGTGTTGACTAGTGTTATTAATGGGTGCTAGATTTGTCAAACGCTGAAGTACGATAGGCAACCTTAGAAGTTGATATTTCAAAAAACAGAGACACCAAAAAAACCACTAGACATAGTACACAGGGATTTGTATTCAGTTAATAAGCAGTGTCATGACCATAATTGACAAGTTTTCAAAGTATGCTGTAGGTTACACGATTCCCGCTAGGGACACATTAAACATCGTTAAGTCAATAAAGCGATTCATGAAGTTAGAATGTGACCATGATGAAATGATGGACGAAGTATTTATTACCTATAATAGTGCCATACATTCAACCACGAAGTTAACACCGTTTTAACTATTCTCAGGTTGAACACAGCTTTGAGGGAGAAGTAGTGTTCAATGATGAACATGAGTATTTGAGGAAGTTAAACTTGTACCAAAAAGAAGTGTACAGTAAGGTAAAGGAGAGGATTAACAGTCAGAAAACGGCCAAGGTTAAAAAATTGAATGAAGAAAGGCAGGAGCCAATAGAAGTTGAGGAAAATGACATAGTATACAGGAGAATGGGAGAAATAAGTTGACGCCCAGGTTAACAACCCAAAGGGTAGACGAGGATAAGAGTTAAGGTTATTAGGTTATTAGGTTATTAAATTTTTAAATACACTTGTAGCAGTGTGATATTACATGAGTCTGGAAACCAAATTTGGTTTCTCTAGCTCTGTATAGTCTCTGAGATCTAGGCGCCCATCGGACAGACGGACAGACGGACATGGCTATATCGACTCGGCTATTGATGCTGATCAAGAATATATATATTTCATGGGGTCGGAAACGTTTCCTTCTCTGCGTTGCACACATCCACTTTTACCACAAATACAATATACCCCATACCCCTTAACTTTTTTTGAGTACGGGTATAAAAAGAATTATAAAAAAAAGTTTATTTTGTACGAAGCGGAAAAATGGTTTAAAATTAATATAATATAATTAATATAATATAATATAATATAATATAATATAATATAATATAATATAATATAATATAATATAATATAATATAATATAATATAATATAATATAATATAATATAATATAATATAATATAATATAATATAATATAATATAATATAATATAATATAATATGTAATATAATATAATTAATATAAATTAAAATTCTGCCAATTGCAGAATTAAAAGTATTCTGAACCGAACTGTACTGAGCTATAAAGAATCGAAAATAATAGCCTTTTTATAGCTTGTTTGCACTAGGGCTGCATTATTACACAAGGAAATAAAAACGTCAAAATTAACTTGAGCGGAAAACTAAACTTGGGAACTAAAGAAACAAACGGGCTGCTCATAAAAGCTTCATAGCTTTGGCTTTGGAAAGTTTAAGTTTAAATGAGCTTTAAGTATCTTCTACAGGGAAATAGCTTTTCTAGCCAATCCTGGAACTGCAAAGCTGCCCGTCAAGTTGTGAACATCTACATGTAGATGAAGCGAAAATTGAACAGCACCTACAGACCCTTCCGCTTGCTTTGTTACGTGTCCGCAGAGAAGTCCATAGCTTTTCTCCACGAAAGTTTCGGTTTTGTAGAAAGCTTCTAAAAGCACAAAGTTCGCCCCTGATATCAAACAGATATAAAATACGGAAGGGCCAACATAAATGAATAAGAAAAAAGAACGGCAGATGTTCTCGTATAATTCATACCCGGCCACGCTAGCTTCTGGTATCTAAAAGGCCTTTGAAGGTGTCTAGATAGTGGATAGAAGACTATCCCAGGTGCGTACTCTTCACTGAGATGTCTCAGTAATAATTGTAACAATAATTGTTAGCATGTTTCAGTCAATCATGAATGTTTCGTTCCATTCTAACTGGGTAAGTATGTCATGGAGAGAACAGAACAGAACATCGCTCAGATTCAAAATTGTTTAGTGGGGATCACGGAAATATTTCCGCAATCCAAAATGGAAGATTCCAATAAAAGGGAAAACCTTCAGGCAGCGGCACCGTCATCCGACTTGAATACTGATGCTGAAGAAGCTGACAATGTTAGCTGGTGCGATATCGAGAGCGATCCCGGGGTCTTCACACAGCTGATACGTGACTTTGGCTGCGTGGGAGCGCAAATGGAGGAGATCTGGAGCCTGGACACAAACATTTTCAAGAACTTGGAGCCGATACACGGCCTCATCTTCCTCTTTAAGTGGGTTCTGGACGAGCAGCCCGACGGCCGTGTGGTGAGCAACTTTGACGACGGCATCTACTTTTCCCAGCAGGTGGTCGAGAATTCCTGCGCCACCCAGGCCATCCTTAGTCTGCTGCTCAACCTGAAGCACCCGGACATCGAGCTGGGAGAGACGCTAACGCGCTTCAAGCATTTCACCAGCAACTTGGATCCGCTCAGGCGCGGCTACTGCCTCGGAAACGATGAGAGCATACGCGCAGCCCACAACTCGTTCGCCCGTCCCACTTTCGTTACGAACGAATCACAGGAGGACAGAAGTGATCCTACCATCTACCACTTTGTCAGCTACATACCCATAGGTGAGAGGCTCTACGAGCTGGATGGCCTGCGGGTGGGGCCCACGGAGTTGGCCGTGATCGCCCCGGGCCAGAACTGGCTGGATATTGTTAGGCCGATCATTGAGGCCCGCATGCACCGCTACAGCACCGACGAGATCCACTTCAATCTGATGGCCCTAGTCTCGGACCGGCAGCGCTTCTACGAGCGCCGAATCGAGAAGCTCCAACGGGACTCGCTACAGATGCCGGAACCGCAGCGAGAGTCGGAGATGAACGATCTGCTCGACAGACTGCGCATAGAGAAGGCGAAGAACCGTCAATACCGCATGGAGAACACACGCCGTCGTCACAATTACGTGCCCTTCATCGTGGAGCTGCTCAAGCAGATGGGAGAGAACGGACAGCTATCGCCAATCTTGGAGCAGGCCAAGCAAAATACCCACGAGTCCAACGAGCTTAACGAGAATGCCAAGAATGCCGAGAATGATGAGTTTTATTTGCATCAAATATTGGAATGATATACGAGTATACTCGTACCAAATAGACTGAAATTATCATTGAGCGAGTATGCACTGCGTTTACGTTTTTCGATTTTAAACGTGTATGGTACAGGCAGTCAATTAATTTACAATAAGTCTTTATTTATGTACATATATGTATGTAATATTTATATATGTACATATAGATTTAAGATAAGCTCGATTACAATGGTCGCTGCTCAGCTCTAACATTAATGGATTGCAAGTGCGTGTGGCTGGAGAGAGAGTTTGTCATTATTCGTATACTCGTAGTTTGGGTCTTCGATCGTTAAGGATCTCTTTGTTTAATTGGACGGCCGCCTCTAGCCTCTGTCGCTACAGACTCTGTTGCTCTCTGTGGCTTCCCAGCGATTAATTCATATGCCTTTAGTTGATTGCTGTTAATTGAGTAACAATATTTGACACAAACTCAAGTTCCAATCATTCATCCATTGTTTCTTCGCCCCACCATAGATAATTTTGTTTAAACTCCGGCAAACACTGTCAACACTGGTCAAGGCTTTTCACTAAAATTCCACATTTAAACAAGCCCCATGGCCAGGCCCTACCCTACCCTAACTCATACACAAACACTCACATGAGTCCATGTCCTTCATGGGGCCTGCCTCCAACTGAAAGCAGAGCTTCAAATCTCCAAGTGCAAACAAAGTGACGACGACGATGTGTCACTGTTGATTTTGGTCCAGAGATGGGCTCGTGACGGGATATGCTGACGTTCATTCATGCTTACTCAAGTAAGGATCAGGATTCAGTGTAATTCCGTATCCCAAAATGACATTTGGGGCATTTGCATGATACCTGGAACAGAGATATCTTGGACTGAATACCACTGCTAGACATTTTTAAGATGTGAGCATGTGAATTTGGATTAACGAAGGGGAGTAGCGTGAGTGCTGCTGGGCAATTACAAATCAGGCTCCCACTGCCCTTACGCTCGTGTCACTAAGCCAACTCTAGCCAGGACTCGAACGAGGGGGCTACACTGCACCATGGAAAATTTTACTACTTTTTCTGGCCAAATCAAAGTCAGCTGTTTTCTATCGATAAGCGAATGTTGTCGGAACAAGAATTTTTGTATACATTTTTTTTTTTGCTCAAAAGTGCTAGATTGATGAATTCAAGTGTATTTTTTACAATGGGTTCGACTTAGACGTGTGGCATGCAGCGAGTACGAAAAAAGCAAGAGAGGACGCCATTCGCTTGTTCTGAGGCGGACAAAAGTAAAAACATTTGCTACCAAATATCCATCAAATGGAATAAATGACAGCGAAAGCTACAGAGATTTGAAAGTAAGCATACAAATTGGCTTAACTCTGTTAGTATCGTGCAAAATTCACAAATATTGGAACCCGTTGGGCAGCCGGCGCTGCCATAATACATACATATGTACATATATGTATGTCTAAAAGTTATAAAAGTGAACGCAAAGATAAGAAGCTGCAGATCTAGCGATATCTAAGGCACAAAACGTTAAAATATTTATAATTATTATTATTACGCAGCGAGCGAAGCTGCACCAAACCGCGGGAAACTTGACCTTGCATATATTTTAAAGATGTTGGTCATGTGTCCAGAAAAGGCCAAATCAATTTGCAAGACTTTGAGCCAGCCAGGCGGTGCCTCTGCTAACGAGGCACTAACTCTTATTTTGTACCAAGGCGTGGCAAGGCAGCAATACTTTGCGTTTAGGGAGCAAACAACAAAAATATACATTTCATGTGCATTGTACATGCACTCTACAAAAAGGCTGCAGCTAAAAAAAAAATAGTTCTGACCGGATAGCATGGTAGTATCTGAGATGGAAGCAGAGTTACCTCCACGAGTGCAATGGGAGGGAAAGCAGGGCACTGATTTGTTATTGTGGAATAACAGTATAATAATGTAAAATTCATTTTTGAATAAAATATAATTTTCTCATCGTGATCCCAAAATGTTTGTTTTTTTTATACCCGTACTCAACAAAGAGTTAAGGGGTATATTAGATTTGTGGTAAAAGTGGATGTGTGCAACGCAGAGAAGGAAACGTTTCCGACCCCATAAAGTATATATATTCTTGATCAGCATCAATAGCCGAATCGATATAGCCATGTCCGTCTATCCCTCCGTCCGTCTGTCCGTCTTGATGAGATCTCAGATCTCAGAGACTTTAAAAGCTAGAGCAACCAAACTTGGTTTCCAGACTCATGTGATATCACACTGCTACAAGTGTATTTCAAATTTTCGCCCCACCCCATTCCGACTTCACAAAAGACGGAAATCTGTGGCAGGCACAATTTTAAAGATATCGTAGAGAATGACTATATCTACCAGATTGCCGAATCTGAATCAGATAATTATAGCCAGAATGAAGAAATTAATTTTCTGTTGGTTCCCCCTCCTTCTCCAGCGCTGCCTCGTTCTGTGCGCGAGCAACCCCTTGCGGAGGAGATGTAGAATATAAATGGTACATCTATAATCTACATGTTAGATGTAAAATATACATTGTAGATGTAGATAGCAAATGTAGCAAGAAAAAGTAAAATTTAAACATTTTTTTAAATTCTAAAATTCTAAAAAATCATATGCTCAAAAATGTATACACTGACTGAGTACGGGTATAAGTAGAGTCGCGTCCCCAGAAGCGACTCACACGTTCCTTCTCGTTCAAAGCATAGTATCCAGCACCGCGGAATCGAAAAATTCCTGTCAAACTCCATATAAAAAAAACTGTGGCAGGAATTTTTCGCTTACGTTTTCCTGGAGTGTGTATCCAGCAACACGAGCGGAATCCACAGATTTATATCGATAGTTGCCTATCGGGACCGTGTGTGGACTGAGAGAACAGATGACACCTATCTCAGGAATATATGTTCAACAATTATTCCTGAACTGAATGGTGCAAAAACTGTGCGCAAAAAAAAAAGAGAGATGTTTTAGCTACGTTCCACACCCTCACGGAATAACAAGCAAATTCATGGCAGGAATTTTCCGTAGTGCTGGAGACAGGCCTTAAATTAAAAAAAGTAATTTTCCAATAAAAAAATGAGTTGCCACGCCCATTTTTTCAAAATACCTTCTTCTTGCTATTATAAACTTGCTTTTGTTTCGTTTTGAAGTTAATAAATATTGCCACAAAAAGTGGTCTAATTTCCCACAGTGCAGTGTATAGGTAAGTGTAAAGGAAGGTGGGATAAAGAGAGAGTGAGGGAGAGGGAGAGACGTGGCAAATTAACCGCAAGAAGCGTCCAATATGGTGAACGGGGTGAACACGTGACTTGAAGCATTAAGCAATTTGCTGCTGAATTGTTGGCTCTGCTCATTGTGCCTAAGCAATTGAATTAGCCGGCTGCTCCCCAAAAGCAATGCGCAAACAACAGCAACATAAACAGAAACAGCAACAGCAAGGATCCCTCCGCCGATACTCTCGGAGGAATCAAAGCGGCAGCAAAGTGCAACACAGGCAACAGAAACTCAAATGTAATTGCTTGTGGCCTGACTTCCGAACACATGCAAGTGCCAACTAGTTTACAGTTTCAATTACAGGGCTGCTCTGCCAGCCTGTGCCAGCACTCCTTCCCCCTGGGGTACGGAACCCCTTTTTTAATAACAAAGTACATACTAGGCTATTTTAGGCTATTGTAGATTGGAGCTCTTTTTAACTCAACGAACCTTTTCCGAATTCGGACTGATACGAGTATCCACAGATAATACATACACCATTCCAGTCAGTCAGTGGATTGATGATTGAAATTCGCATTAATTAAATTACCTTACAAGCCATTTCGCCATCCCTTCGCCAGTAAAACAATGGAAATGAGCTGAAAGTCTCAATAATAACTATTTGAACAGTGATAAGGCCGGACTGCCAGTGGCAGCAGGAGGAGGAGCGGCAGGGAGTGGGTGGGATGGGATGGGCCTTGTTGGGTAGATGCAACGTGACCTGTCAACTCGGTGACATATTGAGCCATCAATTGAGGGCTAACAGCTTTGGCAACAGTCGAAATGGTAATGACAATTGCCTGCTCAGAGCCACCCAAGACATGAGGCCAAAACGAGCCACCAGTCGACCTTACCGCACTGTCAATGGCTATTCTGCCCTTGGCTGAGGGGTGGAGTTGTGGGGTCGCCCGACGAATGGCCACTCTGGTAGAAAAAGCGCCATTTTTATGTTAATGAGCATAATTTCTCTCTGTTTGTTTTCACTTGTGTTAAGTGTCGCAAATAAATTCATTAAAGTGGCATTTTTCAATTTTAATGAACGCTCCCCAAAACAATGACACCTCTACAACCACCCCAACCCATCCCATCCATTCGAACCATCTTCAACATCTTCTGGCTGGTTGGGCCCGAAATGAACTTTAAAGGAATGAATACAAATAATGGACATTAAGGCAGCCCGAATTATGCTTGAATTAACAGATGAATTACGGCTTCATTCATCTTCATTAATCCCAGCGATTATCGTTATCGTTCTCGCTCTCGTTATCGGCCAGCAGAGTTGCAAGCTTTATGGTTAGTAATTGTTTATTATTATCCATAAATGATATACTGAATCCATTGAGATGTTATTGCTCGCTCTGTCATTTCTGTTGTTACACGACGAATTTGTATGTACATTGTACATGGCATAGATATCATTGTATCATCGATGAAGTTTTAATTGCACCACAGCGGAAACAAATCATTTCTTAATTTTTTTCCGTTGCAGTAATTCGAGGGACCGAGGTCATCAGTTGGTGAGCCGCGGAAAAAATCCAAGGTTTTGTTAAGATAATACAGCTAAAAATGTATCCCTGAGAGCTCTAGAGCGAGGCACTTTGATGCACCTGGGGCGGTACAGCCTTACCGGCGTGGCGCGTCTTGCTCACAAGATGCACTGTGTTGAGGTGTAATGGCATTAGACTTAGCTAAATGCAAATAATTTGTAAGGCCATTTTCAAAGGGAATGTCTGCAATCTTAAGTGGCATTCGGTTGAACAGCACAAAAAAGAATAAACGAACGAGGAAAAAGAAAAAATGTGCTGATCTTGTAAACACTCAAAACTCACTCAACTCCAGACAGCTTTAAAATTCTTACAACACAGATTTTTAATGTCCTGCAAATGCCAGAAGTGA